ATATTACTCCAATTCTTAGTGGAAGGAGGAGGAAAGGGTGGGGAGGGGGTTGGGGTCAAGGCACAGTACCAGGCCCATCCTACTATGTAAATCCAGTGGATATCATTCACAGTGAAGTCCATGCGAACAGTTCCTCCTGGAGTTGTACGGCGCTGTCATTCAGGTGTATTCACCCAAGATCAGGACACCATAACCAACATCAAAAGTGGCTTTTTAAAGGTTTATCTGCCCGGAATGCTATAATAAAAGGGTGCTGTTGCCAAATATAAGACATGTTGGTCCTGTATTAATAATGGGAGGACTAGCATCATGCATGCTTGTTATCTGCCATTCCCGCCTAAGATGAATATGCCCCTGTCCGTGTGATGTGATGAATAAGCCCTTCCAGCTGAAACAGTCACCTTTACTGACCCTCCCACAAATGCCTCAAATGACGATATTGCTCAAGCCTTCAAATAATATGGAAAAGTTCTTTGGTAGAGAGAGGAGTTATACTGATTCTTTGTCAAATATTAGCATTACGGGAAAATTAATTTTTCTTCTTCTTTGGAGAGTCACCTAGTAAGTACCCAGGGCACAGAGCTCTGGTCAGGTAAGTTTTGATGAGGAGATAGAAGAATAAGAAGAGTCCATGAGATGAGTAGTTGCCAAAACACATTTCAGCCAATTCAGTGCATGTTTACTTGGTACTTTCTTATCAAACTCTCTGTGCTAGCCACTAGTGCTCAAAGGCGAATAAGTGTTGAAAAATCGTATGACAAATGAGCCATCTGCATTTTCTCTCCTTTTCTTCACTTTTCACTTACCACTCAATCCTCTGCAGTTTGGCTTCAACTCCACCACAAAATGCAAACTGATCTTGCCAAGGTCAACGATGACATCCAAATCACAAAATCCAGAGAAACCACATCACTCCTCTTCTTGGACCTCTCAACAGTATGTGGCATTGTTGGCCTGTTGCTCCTTAATAAGATCATCTCTCGCTTTCCACGATCAGAGACACCCCTGATTTTCCTTTTACCTCTCCAGCTACTGCTTCTCGGTTTGCTTTGCCAGCTCTTACTCCTGCTCTGTACATTCCTCAGATGTTGCTGAAACTCAGGCTGTGTGGTAAGCTTCTCGTCTTCTCCGTTCACATCTCTCCTTCATCTCTCAGTTCACAGTCTCTCTTCACTGCCACTCACATGCTGATTCGTCTCAGAGTTGTAACTCTAGGCCAGTCCTCTTTCACCTTTAGACATTAATATACACAGCCGCCTACTTGATATCATCACATGGATAATTCTCATTAGCTCGTCTAATCTTACTGCTCTTTTATTTTTCCTGTGCTCTTCTTTAGCATTGCTTTAGGTACACGTTGAGTTTGCTCATGTCTCTGAACCTGTATTCCAACTTTTTGATCTCTTTATCTATGTAGATTCTATGTAATTTCTTCATCTCTTTCAGTTAACTAATTTCTCTTCAGCTTTGACTAGTATTCTGTGAAACCTATTTATTTATTTCAATTTCATGAGTATGTTTTCCTGTCTGCAAGCTCTATTTGTTTCTTTTGAGACAATGCCTAGTCTTTTTTTGATAATGTCCTCTACTTAGCTCAAATTTATGATTCCTAGGCCGGGTGCGGTGGCTCACGCCTGTAATCCTAGCACTCTGGGAGGCCGAGGCGGGAGGATTGCTTGAACTCAGGAGTTCAAGACCAG